AGAAAGAAAGAAAGAAAGAAAGAAAGAAAGAAAGAAAGAAAGAAAGAAAGAAAGAAAGAAAGAAAGAAAAAAAGAAAACATTACAAACATGATTTAAAAATAGTTTGCTGTGTAAATGTAGTGGTCTATTTGCTGCACCCTCTGACATGTGTCTCTATCGTGTGTTGTGTTTTATAACAGTGGTACAGTTTTGTGTGAATGAATCTGGATTTACAATTTACTTCTCCCCTTTTGACTGAATTTGGGACTGAGAGTTTAGGGTAATCTTTGGTTTTGGCTTTGTTTTGTTTTGTTTTTTACCCTCAGGGGATCCATTTGTATTTCACATCTTATGATTGGCTGAGGTATATCCTTTGCCAAAAATGTTTCCACTTCTTAATTCTAAATGTTATGGGGTCACCTGGGTAGCTCAGTCAGTTAAGCATCCACCTCTTGGTTTTGGCTCAGGTCATGATCTCATGGATTGTGAGATCTAGGCGGCCTAGGTCAGGCTTCCCACTCAGTAGGGAGTCTGAAGATTCTCTTCCTCTGCCCCTCCCCGGACAACTGAGTGCAGGCACGCGTGCGTACATCGTGTGCACCCTCTCGCTCAAATAATCTTTTTGTAAATAGAATGTTATGTACACTGCAAAGAATTTCTTGAAATCCATTATTTGTCATCTTAGTTTGATTATGATATCCTTTACTATGAAGAAGATTTTAGTCTCATAGTAAAAAAATTTCCATCTTTTCCTTCATGACTTCTGGGTTCTATACTTATCACATTATTTTCTTCTAGTACCTTTGAAGGCTTTTTTTCTTCTAATATTTACCAATCTGTAATACATTTATCCATGATGTGTGAGGTGGAAAAATGTTTATGCATGACAATAAATGTCACGACTTTTACATTTATTGACATTTACATCCTTTCCCCATTAAAGCAGAATGCATTAACATTGAATATTAAGTTTCCTTACATACATGGTCACTTTCTAGACATAGTCTATTGACACATTTGTCTCTTCCATGCCAATGTCACCTTGTTTATATTATTAATGTGCTATTACACTATATTTTGATAACTTACAGGAAAAATTTTGTCTGATTTTTCTTCTTTTGTAAAATCACTTCAGGTCTTACATACATTTACTCTTCCACATGAACTTCAGAACAGCTCATTAGAATGAATTTAAAGATTAAACGAGAATGTTTCCATGGGGTGTGTGCATTAACTATAACTTTACTGATGGTTTTTTTTTTTTTTGCCTTTTAGCTGATTTAATGAGTCAGAAATTGCCCACTTAGAAAAATTTTAGAACAGTGTGTGATTTACAGATGGTTCTTGATAGAAGAAATGTTTTTATCAAGCTACATAAATGTCCTTGTATTCCTCGCTTTTTTTTTTTAAAGCTTAGAGTCATCCCAGACTCCTGTCATTCTTTCTTTTTTTTTTTAATAAAGATTTTATTTATTTATTTGACACCCAGAAATCACAAGTAGGCAGAAAGGCAGGCAGTGAGAGAGGAAGGGAAGCAGGCTCCCTGCTGAGCAGAGAGCTGGGTGCAGGGCTTGATCCCAGGACTCTGGGATCATGACCTGAGCCAAAGGCAGAGGCTTAACCCACTGAGCCACCCAGGCGCCCCATATTCCTAGCTTCTTAAAAGAGTTTATTTACTCAGTTTAATCAGATGTTGAATTTTATCAAGTGAGTTTTAAGGATCTATATAGAATGACCATGTGTATTTTGTTTGTTATTAATATAATGAGTTATGGTAATAGATTTCCACAACAGTTAATCTTTGTTTTTTCTGGATGACTATAAATTTTTCTCCGACTCAAAAAAGGTAGAAATGTACAGTGCATTATCTATGCGCTCTAAAAGCAGGTATAAAACTTTGATTACAATTTTACTCAATCCCATTAATTCCTATGTAACCATTATAGATTTTCTTTTTTTTTGAGGCTGTTCTGCCTCAATATTTTGTGAATACTTTTGCTGGAATGCATGTGTCCACCTTTAAGACAGATCAGAAATGATTAAAATGATGAAAAAAAGGAAATTTATTTTTAAATAATTGGATGTAACTATGCTAATTCAAAGGGGTTAGCGTGTCATTTTCTGGGTTTTCCAGAAAATCAATCTTTTCCTACTAATTGTAGACTTTCCTCTATTTATTTAAATTACCAGAATTACTATGTTCAGTCTGGATCCCTTTAATTTGCTCATAATTGAGCTTGTGTGGGTGTTGAGTTGGAAGCTCTCAGGAGCTGAATAACACAGCTGCCTCTTTGGCCTTTGGCATAGGGTTTTCCCCCAAAGAGCTGCCCTTCTGGCAGTATGCCAGAGAGTTACATTCAAAGACTTTTTGATGAGACATAAACATCTTTAATTTCCAAGTCTGGTGTTTTATGACCTCATTAAT